CTCAGGACTAGAAATGTTAAACAGTATATAGATGATAATGAAAAAAAGAAGAACAAATTCTCAACCTTTGCTCCAGTCTGCCTGCTGCTAGATCTCCGATGATAATGAAAAAAACAAGAACAAATTCTCAACCCTTGCTCCAGTCTGCCTGCTGCTAGATCTTGAACAGAACCTATTGGACACAACTGAAGTTTCCTTTCTGCCTGCACCTAGTCGCTCTCACGACATATCATAGTTATTGCTTCCTTTTACGTCAAGAGTCAATCAAGCCACGACTAATAAATGCCTGCAATTTTGTAAACAAACATCTCTCGATCAAGACGAACCTCTCATACGAGCAAATAATGTTTCATTGGTTTGTCAGTAATTCTCTTTCTTAGAGCATTGTTTGATAATTTTCCTTTGGCCGCAATTTCACTGATTCTCAAAGTCGGTGTTTTCCAAATTTTAAATATTTTCGTGCCCTTTTGGAATCCCTGCCTTTCAAGCGCACTCCTCTCAGTTACATCAAAATCTGCTATCTCGCGAGTGGTCGAATCACAAAAAGAAGGTAAGCTTGAAAATGTACAGAAATTTACAAACTTTATTAACAGTATCAACGAATTTGTTCAAATTCTAGAGTTCTTCTGACAGCGAAAATAACTCTGGAACAATTTTTAATAATTCCTTTTCTGCCACGTGCCCTTGAAATCCTTTCGCTTACGTAAGTACCACACTTTGGGAAACAATGCTCTGTCAATTAAAAAGTTAACCCAGTTTCTCGCGTATCTGCTTCGTATTCGGAAAAGTTTCAGGCATTGGCTCTGGATACGAAACTCGGTATGTGATTTACAGGACACTAAGTGTGTTTTAAAAGCGCAAAGAAAAATATTTGATCCTAAGGAAGAAGAAAAACTAGTAAACATTACATGACGAGAAGCTCAAAATTTGTACTTACCACCTGTCTGTGTTAGACACTTCTTTACCTAAGGACGGACTGGATATATGACACGTTTGGGAGAAAGAAATTTGTAATAATTTACAGGCTACAAATTCAACTGAAAAATTCCAGGAGATGATAACGTCGCGAGAACTGAGCTGGGACTGAAGGGAAACATGAATGTAGGGAGTGGGAATGTGTGGATGGATGGCCGCTCTTCTGCAGTTATTGCAGCTAAAATCGTCTCCCACCGTCTTTGAACTGTTGACTGGTCCGATAACACAGCACGTTATCAGAACATGCATCGATCAGCTCAGACCGATACTTGCTTCGACTATGAATGACTAAGTTATTAAATGTAACATAATCAAATCTAAAAGTTCGTGACGATGGTGAGTTATTTAAATAAAACGTTCTTTGGATATTTTCCATCGTCTAGTAAAATATCCAAAGAACGTTTTATTTAAATGTAACATGTTTTCAATTTGCTTTATACGAAATACTGTTTCATGTATTTATTTCCTGTAATTAAACTGAAACAGGAATATTTTTGTCCCTGCCATTATTTCACAGTTTCCTCTTGCTGTTACATCTAAGATCGATTTCCATAATTCCTTCCAGTCTCCTAGTCTGTCCATACATCCCTTTTATTACTCACATTAGAGCTATGTTATTTCGGTATACAATCCATCCGCCTACATATTCATTTCTCTAATTTGTCTCTCTCACATTTATGAGGTATACATTTCAATACCACCAACAACCAACTCATAATTTATTTTTTCATTCTTCTAACCTCCTAGTGACCTTTACTGTTTATCTCCACTTATTTTCTTGGGGTTTTCCCATCATCATAAACTGTTCGTTCTCGTTTTCTATGTCCTTCAAATATATTAATTCCATCTCTTTTTAAATGTCCATCGCTATTTTGTATACTTCAAGATTTCCAGATGGTGTCCAGCGGTTTAAAACTTTCGGTTCATTTTTTCAAGACATTTTCTTACAGAGTAGAATTACATCAGCAGCTAACCTGCTTTCATGAAACAGCTTTATCACCCGGCCAGTTCGTCAAACGAAGCTTATAGCTGTCACTGACAAGAAATATTCTTGTGACCAGCTGCATTCGAGGCAAGGTAAATCCATACACTATTTGCTGTAAACAAAGCTACTCTGGGCGTATCCACAGCACTGACTCAATCATACAAGTGACATCATCGACTGGACTTCAAACGCGGATATCAACAGTTCCCTCTTACCTCATTTCTTAGTACTTGTTCTCTCAACACGAATGAATTTATTCAATATTTATACAAGCCCAACAAATTGTATTATTTACTCTGAGAACAATTTGAAATGCTGATGAGGTCCTGATTTTCTAACCAACTCACTCAATAAAATCTTCTCGGGCAATCAGCCGCGTTAACTGGTTACCGTAGCAAACCGACGTTTCGGGAACCAACTCTGTCCCCATCATTAGGGTTCTGATGCGACTGGGTGCGACTTCCGAGGTATCCAGTCACATCAGAACCCTGTTGATGGGCACAGAGTTGGTTACGAAACGTCGGTTTACTGCGGTAACCACTTAACGCGGCTGATTGCCCGAGAAGATTTTATTGATTGTACTCGCCGCGGAAGTCTCAAATCCTATAACTCACTCACTCACTGAATAACTAGCAAACGAATTAACTCACTGTCGCGTTGACCAATTAACTAACCAACTCTCTGATAAAGTAACCGACCAACATAAGAATCTTCGAAAAATAAGCTAAAAAATCATAAACCTACCAGCTAACTGATTATGAGATCTTTAGTTATCGGGGTGGTCAAATGTCAAAGTTGGTCTTCTGGTTTGAAATGCCGTGCAGACTTGTAGGTAGATGCCGACGTTTTTGAGGAACATACTGCCTCCATCGTTTGGGCCCAGAATACCAATATCGATAACTGATTTATTATCCAACTGACCAGCTAATGAACTGATGACCTTTAACCAGCATAACCACAGTTATTCTAACATAAGAAAGAATGTTTCCATTGACACAGAATGTCGCTACGAATAGATGCACACAAAACAACAAAGGTCCAAATTCACTGACTGAATGAAAACGGTAAGTAACAAACGAACGAACTAAAGAACAAACCAACGTACCAACAAAGTCCATACCGCAGAGTGTATCAGAACAAGATAGCAGTTATTCAGCACGTAAGAAATTCCCAGATCCCATGTAACCGAAAGATCATCACCGTAAAAACCTTATCTCGCCATTGCATCTCTCTGAGTCATTTCCATTCAGTAGTCATCCTTAAAGCCAATTTGCATAAAATGTAACTTAATATTACAATCCCATTCGCGTTCCTCTTACAAGTCTCCAACCAGAATGTAGGAATTTGTTTCTCTAAACCATAGCGTGTGTTCTATCCGTTCTAAACTTTCTACGTCATTCTCACAACAACAGATTAAAATAAAAACAATGAACCCAGTTTTATGCCAGTTCCCCCATCAGATAACATCAATTTAACAATATTAATTTTACTAAATATTTTAAATATCTTCAATCTTTGTTCTCTCAACTGAACGACCACGTTTTACACCCACTCAAAATGAGCAACATTACAGTTACGTACACGCCCTTCATAATGGCAATTATAAAATAAATTCATGTCCTACGTTTAATTCTTTGCTTGTTCTTACTGACAGCCGACAATTTTAATGATTATCAAGTGGCATATACTAAACAATGTGCCAACGTATCTCATAATAGAGAACTATTATTACTGACATATATGAAAGTTTATCAGTTTCTTCAGAAGCAAAACTGTAAACATGCTCTTTTAAGCAATACATTGTGTGTTCATCATTATCATCTGTGGCTCTACAACCCAGTGTGGGTCTTGGCCACCTCTTTTAAAGGCTTCTTACTCTATTTAGACTCTGTTTATTAGTATTTTTATAATTATCACAAACTTCATCATCAATCGTCATCATAGCTCCGACTTACTGGTAGTCGACGAATAATTCTGATAGTTTATATTTACCTGACATGCGACAAGACAACTGTTAACATTGTTAAAATGACAACACTAGACGGGTTCTAAAACCAATTCAGAATACAATTGGAGGATTTTTGGCTTCGTTGCCGGTTCAACTGTACTTGGAAGGTACATGTGAGATACTTGGGGAATTTTGACTTTTAAGTGCTTATGAATAGCTTGTAGCAGTATTTTTTCTTTTATCTCTGTACGTGAACCCTTTGCAGCCCGAAGTTTGTCAAAACAATATTCAAAAATTAAGTTCTTTGGTCAAAAAATACAGCGCTTCTCGACTATGACAGCCTCTTGGCCATTTACTAACTAATTGTTGGTACAAAAAGTCGTTCTTGATAAATTTTGTTAAGTTCAATTTGGGCTCATAAAAGTAGCGACTATAAGTGGCCTATAGGCCTATGCACGGAAACAACATTTGCCTCACAACGTTCTGTGCAGACTCCCAGACTAAATTTGATAGAATTCCGCTTACAGTTTCGGAGATGTATGTAGACAACCAAGGCGTCCTAAAAGCGTGATCATTTTGTTAACATTATTTAAAACCCTTCAAATTTCCTTGTGTAAATTTAAGAATGAATAACAATTACAATTCATGTATTCCTGATGCCATAATAACCAGTTTTTTTGGATAACGGTTAAAATGCAGTTCAATGTCCCAAACAAATTATTGGAATTCAGTGCCAGGCAAAATCACACCATTATATTAGCATAATATACCGCTACCCATTAAATTGGACTGTTGCAAAAACAATTCTGAACTTGAAAGTTCCACCTACAAGTATCAAAGCAACGGGTTCTACCTAGAGTAAACACGCGAAGTAAAATTTAGCTGTCGATTCAGCACAAATTGCGTTAATGAGACGGCCTTCATAATTTACACTGAACTTGGAGCCTTCATGCACTTAAGGGTTATGTTAATCTCCAAGTCCCATCAAATGCCCAAAGTCATTAAGGAGGAAAACAACGAGAAAGAAAAATAAAGAAACAAATACACACAAAACAGAGAAGGCAAGTATGAAAAGAGAGACAGAGACGGGGAGTGAAGAGAATGGACAGGCGGCAGAACGAGAGCTACTGCGCTCTTGAGTTCGACTGAGTAAATAAATATCTGTCAGTTCCAAGATTTTGAACGACGAACGAAAGAAAGAAACGAAGAGAGGAGGTCATCACACACAGAAGTTGAGCTTCTCAAGTAATTATTATCACAGCACAAAGATGGATGGACGGATGGACCGTGTTCGTCCTGAGTGAGGAAGACCAGAACTCGATTACATCCTAGAAGGTCTGTAATAACTACGATGTTTTAGAAGCTGATTTAACACCCATATTTTATCTTCATAAATTATGCTAGACTTCTGTAAAATCATGACGCTTATGTTTTTAATGATAGTTTTTATATACATGCGTTGCATAAAACCGTGTTTGATATTTACATTGATGTAACAGTGGATTTTCCACAGAGCCCTTAACCCTCTAACTAACGACGTAGATGGTAAAATGTTCTATTTTACAAATGATGCTGTCATTAGGCAACTTTCAGAAATATTTCATCTTGGCCTATCGGTGATAAAAATGTTGACGGTAAAGGAATAAGAGAAAAATAGGGAATAAAATTAAGATACGAAAGCGATAAATGAAAGTTAAACAGAAGGAAAGAGAAGAAAATACGAATTAAATTATTATTAAGTAACGATAAGACTATCTCTGTAGCCTATATGGCTCATCTCAAGAACGCACATAGGTAACTTCGAGATGAAATTCGAATTATACTATCCAGGATGTACTCGGTTGAATTGGCTGTCGGGTGTTCTGGCTGAAGGTTTTCTTTATGTTTCTCAGTTTCTGAGTGCGGCTACCACGATGGCGCCTGTAAATAAACTATGGTTTCCCTGTTTTTTTTTTTTTAATCTGTATGAACCCATTCAAAGCCAGTCATCTTTCCATTTCTTTGGGATCGGTGTATGGCTTCAAGTATAAAGTCATGTGTTCATTAATCTCGGCATAAATAAGTTGATCAGATCATCACGGGATAATTAACAAAGACCGTGGAGGGCAAATTATAGCACTGGTTTACATAAGCGTATATTGCTTTCATCATCATTAAAGCAAACTCTCTTCTCAACAATTTTAAATGTATAATTGCTTCTTTGCTGTATTTATTTTCTTAATGGAAGCAGTTGGACAAAGTGTTCAAAATGGATATCCATGCAAGTGACCCATATTGTGAAAATAAATTATTAAATAAAAACAAGCACTGATCTTGAAAACAAATTGGAAAGCCTCGTGCACGTGATAGATAA